TGTATGTCATAGCTACACATCCTTCTAGTTGCTGTATGTGGGACGCGGCCTCAGCATGGCCGGAGAAGCGGTGCGTTGGTACGCGCCCGGGATCTGAACCCGGGCCGCCAGCAGTGGAGCGCGCGCACTTAACCGCTAAGCCACGGGGCCGGCCCTTAGTTCTTATTATTAAATTTACCTTTTTAAATATAACCTAAGAAAGAAAAATTACCATTTTCTTTTATAACTTGATTTGATCTTGCTCCTTTTATCTAACCAAAGCCTTTTTTCCCCTCAATGAGTGAATTTACTGTGTTACACACTAATAGAGGTTATAATTATGATTATTCTATAAAACAACAAAGCTATCAGTACCTTGGAAGCCCAAGCCACATGACCCATGACGGGGACCAACTGGCATCATACTCATTCTCACTGAAGGTGTTGGGCTGCTCCTCCGAGGTCTGGGCTGCCTCCTCAACAATCTGCACCTCAAGTGCTTTCAGGGCAACAGCGGGGGACGCAGCACTGGCTTTCAGCACAGCAACAGCCTCACTGTGACTTAAATTGGTCAAATCAATGCCATTGATATTCAACAATATATCACCTGTTCAAATGAAGAACAAGAAAAATGAGCTGAGCTACCAAGTGATTATTTCCCTGTAAATCCTATTATCTGTAAACTAATCAACAAGGGTAGTTCCAATAATTCAGGTGAGATAAGGTGAAAGACCATTTTTTACTTCTTTGTAATTTTTGTAATACTGAGGAAAAATCCAATTCATGGAAAACATTCCAAGATAATTCAAAAATTTAAAATAATTCCATAATATATAGGAAAAAGTGTGGCTTGAGGCCCTGTGATTCAATTGGAAGTGCAAACCATCAGCCCTGGTTTAGCTGTGTAAAGGCCCTGGCCAGGTTCATTTCTCTTCTTTGAGCTCGAGTGATTTCTAGAGTTCTTTCCTATTCTAAAATGATTTGATCCTTTGCTCTTAGAAAAAAATTTTTGATATATTCTATTTTATATTTACACAGTTTTATACATAAAAGTCAGCCTTACATAGTTTACCCAGTGCAAACATATCAGAATATGTAAAGACAAGATATTCTTGGGCCTACACAAAGAAATAAAACTTGTGATTTGAACATCTTCTCTTGCTTGAGGAAGAAAAAAGTGTTTTGCTCTGCCAAGTAATATAATAAAAAAGGGCAATGAGGATTATATAAAAGGTTAGGAAGGAAAGGATTAGTTTTGTAGGAAGCACAAACATTTGTACTAAGAAAGCCTACAGAAAATCCTCCTCTCCCAATTCATCATTTATTTTTCAGATTATTAAAGCAAACATTCTCATTGTAGAAAACAGAACAAAAAAAATAACAAGAAGTACATAAAATGACCTCAAATTCCACAATTGGACAAATAAAAATTTTTTTAAATAGCAGTCTAATTAAGCTATAATTCACATACCATTCAATTCATTCAAAGTATACAATTTTATGGTTTTTAATATAGTTACAGAATTGTACAACCATCACACATCATTTTTAGAACATTTTTATCACCCCCCAAAAACCCTGTACCCATTAATGGTCACTTCCCTTCCCCTAGCCCTAAGCAACCACTAATCTACTTTCTATCTCTATAAATTTGCCTATTCTGGACATTTCATGTAAATGGAATCATACGTGGTCTTTTGTGAGTGGCTTCTTTCACTTAGCATAATGCTTTCAAACTGCATCCATAGTGTAGCTGGTATCAACACTTCATTTCTTTTTATGGCCAAATAATATTCCGTTGTAGGGATATACCACATTTTGCTGATCCATTCACTAGTTGAGTTGTTTCCACTTTTTGGCTATTATGAAAAATACTGCTATAAACCATCACGTACAAGTTTTTGTGTGGACATGTGTTTTCATTTCTCTAGGAATGGAATTGCTGGGTCATATGGCTCTATGTTTAACTTTTTGAGAAACTGCTAAACTGTTTTCTAAAAACAGTTGTACCATTTTCCATTCCCACTGGCAACGTATGAGAGTTTCAATTTCTCTACATCCTTGCCAATGTTTGTTATTGTCTGTCTTTTTTATTATATTCGTCCTAGTGGGTGTGAAGTCATTTTGATTTGCATTTTCCTAATAACTAAGGACACTGAGCCTCTTTTCAGGTGCTTATTGGCCATCTGTATATCTTCTTTGGAGAAATGTCTATTGAGATCCTTTGCCCATTTTTAAATTGGGTTGTCTTTTTTATTATTGAATTGTAAGAGTTCTATACGTACTCTGGATACAAGTCCTTCATCAGATATATAATTTGCAAATATTATTTCCCATTTTGTGGGTTATTTTTTCACTTTCATGGTGGTGTCCTTTGCAGCACAAAAATTTGTAATTTTGATGAAGTCTAGTTTATCTATTTTTTTTATTCTTGTTGCTTGTGTTTTTGGTGTTGTATCTAAGATAATCCTTGACTAAAATCATCACCTAATCCAAGGTCCTGAGGATTTATACTTCTGTTTTCTTCTAGAAGTTTTAGCTCTTATATTTAGGTCTCGGATCCATTATTAAGTTAATTTTTGTACATAGTGTGAGATAGGGATCCAACTTCATTCTTGGAAAAATAGCCTTTAAGACTCACTTTTCCATATGAACAAACCAAGTGTATGGAGAATGCTATTTTTACCACTACCACCCCCACCTATGCAAATTATATAGTATTGAAGGGGAATGTGAAATTGTGAATGAGTTTATCCCTAAAACCACTATCTTTTTATTAAGTCTGTCTTCTGCTCCACCTCCTCCGTGAGCCTCCTCCCACACAGACACTTTATTATAAGCAACATCTGTACTTTGGTGAGATGATCCTTCAGAGTATCTAGTCTGCCATAATGCTGGAAGCATAAGTCTCTTACAGGGTCTTTTCCAACATAAAATAATCCAACAGTCTAAGTAACTGTTAGAGAGTAATGGAACCATTATCAAGCTTTAGCAGTTTCCCTTTACAGTAAGCATTTTTCTAACCTTACAGAGAGGCTTTATGCTTACATATGCAAGGGACATTTTAGAGGATTTAAAAAAGCCATGTTTAATAGAAAACTTTGTAGATAGTCTTTATCTTTAAAAATGTGAGTTGAATCCAGGGAGAAGATGTGGTGAAATTGTTTAAGATCCAATCTTACCTCTCTTGATTCTGCCATCGCGGGCAAGGCAGCCATGAGGTGGCACACTAGTCACAAAGATGGGCAATTCACCACTCTTACTTCCTCTGCCCCCAGCTACTGTCATTCCAAGGGACTCATGTGGTTCCTTCTTTACAGTGATGTGTTTTTCCTGGCATGTAACACACTGGGTAAGATCCTAAACATCAGAGGAAAAATTTATTGGATAATGAATAATATATAGTTGAAGTAAAGACAGCTTAAACTAAAGTAAAAACTTATGCGGCAATTATAAAGTCATTTTTTAAAATCACTTAGTATAGAACTGAAAGTAATACATAGTTCTTCATAGGTACAAACAGTACACTGAACACTGTGGATCACATTGTCAAACTTTGGACTACTATATTTTCATGTAACAATTTATGGAACTGAAAAAACTCAGGACTCTTGACATATTGAAGTCAAAGTAAAATAAGCACATCATTTGTATATTTATCCTGAGCTCCAAAATATGATCAATTCTATAAAAGTAAATAATGCATTTGAATTTTAAAATTCTGAAGACAAGCCAGTTAATTTTACTTCCATCTTTCTCCTCTGTTCTTTGAAAGAAAAGTTGACAGAGTAGTATAAAAGTAAAGTGTGGATTTTACTAACTGCCAGAAAAAGCTACAGATGTATCTTCTGATTCTTACTGACAAGGATTATCAGAGTACTCAATCATGAAGCAGGTGCAAATCTACCTTCAAAACCTTCATGAAAAGCTAAAAGGATGAGAACTGAATTTTTGAATAAGTTAATAACAGAGAAATAAATTCCCAACAAACTATATTCTCAGGGAAAAGCTATTTTTACTGACATTTGTTACTGCTACTTATTACTGAGGCATTCCTGGAAGTAAGAAAAAGAGAATTTTAAACATCACTTTTCTTTTGAATTAGAATTCAATAAAAAACAAGGTGTACATATGCAATATTAATATTAAAATAACAATAATAACTAACATTTATTGAAGGCACGTTATGTGCAAAGCTAATGGCTTTACATACGTTATTTCATTTAATCTTCACAATGGTCCTAATAGTAAATATTATTATTGGCTCCATTCTACAGATGAGGAAACAACTTTAGAGAGGTCATGTAACTTGGCCCAAGTCATACAACTATAAGTGACTACACTGGGATTTGAATGGATGCAAGTTCAATAATAATAATAATAATAATATATATTAATATATGTTTTACACATGTACGTATAGTATTATGCACCATGTATATATATTGTTTATATGACCGCACCACTCAGGTGCTATCCCATTAAGTGTAATAGTGGAAGCTAATAGCTCAAAAGGTTTCCAACATTTATCAACTATAAGAAAATGTTGTAGATAACAAGATAAATATTAACATTATTACAATATCAACAATAGAAACATATAAATTATATTTACAGAATTATAACATTTCCTCTAGTGACATTATTTTAAAGAGTTAAGATGTACGTATCTGTTAATCAGGCCCTGGAGTTCCAGGCCCATCTCCCTTTCTCTGCTCCTGGAATCCATGTACTCTTGAAATGTTATTAAGGGAACTAGCATTCCTAGAAAATGTTATGACCTAGTAGAAAACTTGTAAACGTCTTCAGGCGGTCTATCTAAAGGTATGAAATCAATGTTAGTATCCTTCAAAATTGGACAAAAACCACTTTATTATGAAGACAACTCCTGTAAACTCAGTCTTGAGTATATTTATTTAAGCAGTTTTGGCTCTCAGGTATTTAATCAGTTAAGGCTGGTTGTTTCATCCCCCTAGATGGCTGAGATGTATGCATTTTTCTCCTCAGGAACCAAACCAAACTTCAAAGCTTATACTTGGTATGCTTCAAGGAAACTTCTAAGGGTTCAACACCACATGAATGTCTATCCAAGCAGCTACTTACATGCTTAGTAGTAGACTAATGTATACTTTGATTTTTAACAATGATTATAATCGTCTGAACTGGTTGTTTTGGTAAATTTGTGTGTTTGTTTTCCCCAAAAGCCCTTTATTTTTCTAAATCAGGATTTGACATAACAAATGCAGTATGTTAATAGTAAATAGCTAAATTAACACTTAAAAGTACATTTCTTGTGGTTGTTCTAACCAACCAGGTTTGTAGAGCACCTAGTATAAGAATAAATTCAGTATTCCTATTTAAAACATTGTTACAAAAAATTAAAGAGAATAAGAATTAGAGTTAAGAGAGAAAAATATATGTGCCCAAAACAAACAAACAAACAAATGAAATAAGCAGAGTTCTCTATATGAATGTTGGAATGATTAAGTAGTTTTTAAAATTATCTTAAAATTACAATGTTGTCACAGACACTCCTATCTTAAATTATTGCAGAATTTAATGACATAAAAGATTCAATAATCAACTTTTGACTTACATTACAATTCTTTAGGAATATATATATATATATATATATATATATATATATA